AAATAAAAGGATAGGATATGACCTTATTGGAAACCCTGCTTTGATACCAAATGATGTGAACCCCAATAGTCCTGCTTTGAGACCCAACAACAATATTGGAAATACATCCCAAGAAAGCCAAAATCCGGTCTATGGATGTAGAATCTAGACCCATTGAGATCCGGTTCAAGAACCTAGATTATATTAAAACCTAGACCCGTTGAAGAACCCGTCTCAAGAACCCAAATTACAAGGAGGAACGCCAAAAAGGTTGTGATTTACCTTTGATAAGTTCAAAAGTTCAATCAAGAACAAGAGGAGTAAACTCAACTCAACTTACAATCAAAATTCATTATATATTGTTTCTCCCCTATTTCATTGATAGAACACCTATTTATAGGCTGGCCATTACAAGGAAACAAATCCTAATCTATTAAGGAAACAAATCCTAATCTATTAAGGAAACAAATCGTAATCTAAATCGGAATAAATAAAGGCTAAAATTTGTGACCCTTTCTCTCAAAAATGCCCTTGAGGGAATAGTGTCATGGTACTGTAGCATGAATAGTACCATGCTATAGTACTTATTCTAAACCCTAGTTCAAATAAAATAATAAGACATATGTGGGCTAAGCATCCTCAAACCCACTTATTCTAAACTAATAATAAAAATTTCTTTAAACAAATTAAAATGCTCAACAACAAAAGGCCCTATCTGTAAGTCATGTCTTCATGTTTTCCACAGCTTGGATCAAGTGGATCAAAATTGGTTCTCCTTCTTTCAAGCCCATCTTGAGTGTTGGGCTNCAAAAGGCCCTATCTGTAAGTCATGTCTTCATGTTTTCCACAGCTTGGATCAAGTGGATCAAAATTGGTTCTCCATCTTTCAAGCTCATCTTGAGTGTTGGGCTCTCTTGCTAGCTTGATCACAAGTGGATTGCACCAATCCATGCGTTGCTTCCTTGATCTTCTTGGCTCTTGATCTTATAATTGGGCCATCTGGACATGCAAAGGATCTTTAAGAGGAGGCCCACCTTGGCTCTCATCAAAAGTCCTTATAAAATTTGGACCATACATAATCTCATGACTGATTTAATAGAGCAGATACTTGCATACTATCAAATCACATAAACCACCCCTCAGATAAGATCAAGTAGTGTCAACCCAATCATAAATGGGTACAAACCCAAATAGAAAAATCAATAAAAAGGATGGGAGAGATAGAAAACAATTAATTATGAGAACCATTCTATAACCTAGATAGAACAATCAATAAAAAGGATGAAGAAAACGTACCCGGAAGATGAGGGACGACTGGAATCTGCTACAATATAGAAAGTAATTGCCCACAATGGAAGATTGATATCATGACTCTAGTAAACAGTAGTGGCAGCAGCAATTTGGAGACCTAGCGTTTACTCAATTTTTAACAAAGAGAGAGAGGGAGAGAGGAGAGTCGATAAGCTAAAGAAAAAATTGATCATGAGTGTGGGAGACGTGTGAATACAAGGGAGAGAGAGAGAGAGAGAGAGGAGCGAACTGTCAACTGTGAGGGGGCAAAAATACGTTTTTTATTATTTCATCAAATATATTACTAAATTTACCAGGAAAAAAAATTATATTACTAAAACAATAGACACAGCCCACAAAATAATATTATTTTAATATTAGATCCACAAAATGACGCCGTTTTATATAGACTAATTATCACAACTAGTCCTTAATGTAACACAAGCAAAAATATTTGCGACAAAAAAAACTCCTGTCGCAAAAAATAAAATTTTATTGTATTTGTTGCCATGGCAATGGCTTACCATTGCAAATAAATCATTTTAAACGATGGCATTAGGAACAGTCGCAAAAAAAAGTGATGCAAGAACCCAAAATTCTTGTAGTGAATATAGCTCTCGGTATTGTGATGCCTAAAAGAGAGCTCTAGTACCCAAAACCTATACCCTTGCCCTTTTCTTTGGTCTTGGCATCATATTTCCCAAAATAAATGGTAGAATAGTTTAAAACAAGAGGATAATCAGAGATTTAAGGTTGAAATGCACTAATCACACTCTAGATTAGGTTTAATCTCAAGGAAATGCAATAGGTAGGCTTGGCACTGAGTGAGTCTATGTAAAGAATGAGTCTTTCTTGTTGAAAACTCGCTTTTAAACCTCACTAGAGTGACTCTCAAAGCAGACTGCTCGAGCGAGGTACTAGACCGCTCGAGCGAGCCTTGAAGCAGGTGACCTCTTGGTCTAATCTGTCCAGCTCACTTTGAAAAGACTCTAACGAGTGCTAGCATGCATGTATGATAGATATGAACTCTAAACATGATTTAATGCAATGCATGGATCAATTTGGATCAAAAGTAAATGCAATTTTCATTTTTAAACAATAAATTCTCAAAATTCATAAAATTGCAAGTTACACAAATTTGTATTTTAATAGCTCAATCCAAAATTCATTATCTCAATACATTACTCTAAGGGCCTATTTATAATTTGGTTTTGCACGGGTCTATTGAGGGGGTTTAAAAAAAATAGTTGAATCCATTGCCATAGCTCATGTTTGGATGCCCTTCTCAGACTCGGGATTTAAACAGATTCAGGCTCCCTAAAATTCATGTTTATGGGTTTCATCAAACCTAAGGGGTGGGCTTCATCAAACCCATGTATAAGTGTTTCATCAAAACCAGTCCAATTCTTCACCCAAACTCCATCCAAACATGCTCTAAGTCATATTTAAGGATTGAAAACTCAATCCCATGCATTCTAGAGCAATGTTTCCTCACTTGGTTCAATTTCACTCACACGTGTTCAAATTTTGTCCAACTTTGACAAATTCAAGTGCATCGTGCATGAAACCAACCTCCAACACAAAAAGGATTCTGATTAGTTTGAAAAATTAGTTTAAATAAGCTCATCATGAAACCCTAATGCATTGTCTAAGTGAATACATAAACGGTTAGTGAGNGATTCTGATTAGTTTGACAAATTAGTTTAAATAAGCTCATCATGAAACCCTAATGCATTGTCTAAGTGAATACATAAACGGTTAGTGAGTGTCTTAAATATTCTATTTTTGACAACTCCCCATTTCTTGTATCCTTTCTACTCTATGGCTTCAATCAAAATGATTATGAATACCATACTTTTAAGTGTATGCTTCTAATCATGGTCAACATGAGCTCTATGAGCTTTTGACAAATAAGCAATTTACAAGTAAGCATAAGTACTCTCACAATTCAAGTGCGATTGTTTTTAGCCATTTATTTATGTCTCACCTTTTACATTTTGCCACATTGGGCTCTATTCTCACAATTGACCTTCGGCATCTTTTAAGGGATTGAGGTTTAACTAACACTTAGTCATGTGTTCACCTATCACCAACACTTAGAGTCATTTAAGATAATTAATGGTTCAAGCTAATCAAACTCCTAAGTGTGAAGTTGAATGGCGTGAGTGAACTTGGTTTTGAAACTTTCAAAGGTAAACATTATCTAAGCACACAAGGATGAAAACAACTTTGACTAAGTTCTCTATCTCCTAATATGACTCAAAGAAATCCACATTATCACCTTCATTTAAGGATGGAACAATTTCAATGCAAAGCAAAGGGTGAATTACCAAGATCATGAAACAAAGAAAAGAAACAAAAAGAAAATCTTTTTGGCCTTTTCTTTTCCAATATTTTTGAAGTTTTCAATTAACACATGTACATGAAAAAAAATGAATTTAAATGCTATTAAACAATAGGAAAGAAAATAAAGCATTTACCATAAATCCTAAAAAATGAATGTCAAACTTGACATCGAAACTCTTTTTAGATTTTACTATGTCTTTTGTTTTTGGTTTTTCAAATTTCAAATGTTTTTGTATTTTCATATTGAAAAATAAATGAAAAAATCATAAAGAAAAAATATATACATAGTTTATGACCATAGGGTGTTTGAAAAAATGCATTAAAGATTACATTTGCTACTTCTTAGGAGTCATGACCTTGGTAGAAGCACTCAGGACCTCCAACTTGGTTGAGATGTTGAGTTTCTCAAAGTACTCCCTAGTCACATACTTTTTTCCCTTCCTAAAACCTGGGTTAGGTCGAGGAATGGGTGGAGGACTAGCTCTCTTCTCCCAAAAGGTATGTAGATCTATTTGATCTTGGGGGTATAAGAAGCTTTGGGCACTCTAGCTTGTGGTCCATGTGAAGATAATGCATGATTATGTTTGGACACACCTGACCTCTCCAAAAGCTTAGAAAAATTTAACACTTAGTTATTTAAAGTTTTAGAGTGGTGTGCTAAATGCATGGGCTTCTTATTCAACACACCTCGTCATTCATGCAATGTTTACTATGATGACCATTTCTCCACGAGTATAGTACAAATCATAATTGGTTTTAGCTTCTTTAAGAACTTTCCTATTTGTATGCCTACCCTTACCACTATTATCAACTTTAGAGCTAGTGCCTACTTGTGGGGGTGATGGGTTGGTGATACCATACACAAACATGATCTTGGAAGAAATATTGGTGGATTCATTTGTGTAGCCTAAACCATGCTGATCACATAAACTCTTTTTTGTAGCATTCTATCAAAATTTTCATTGCATTGGGGAAGTCTCTTAGAGATTTTATTTCATTCATGAAGATCTTTATCAAGTTTGGCACATTTTGACTCAAGATTCTTCTTATACTTTACAAGCTCATGACATTCTCTCTCAAGGAAGCTCACCCGATCAAGAAGAGACTTATTCTCATCCTCTAGGCCATATATTGGGGCCTTGGACTTCACCAAGTCTACTTGAAGTGCTCTTGTATCTTTTTCACTTGAGTTAGCTCGACCACTCAAGGGGAGCATCTTCTCTTGTTTCTTAAGGAATTTCATGTATAATTGATCATATACATCTTGTATATCCTCAAAAAAATCTTCATCCTCCATAGATGTGGGAATTTCTTCTTCAAGTCTTCTACCACCGTGGTAGGACTTGTCTCAACTTTACTTGTTGAAGTATTTCAAGGGGAGAGGAGTGTGAAACTACAAAGTCCGTAAAGTTCTCTTCATCATCGCTAGAAGAGGAGTCAACACTCGGGTTTGACTAACTTTCACTATCACTCCAAGTGAACTTCATAACTCTCCTATTGTCTTTGGGCGAAACTCTTCTCTTTATATTCAGCCATTCTGATGCAATATGTCCAAATCCTTGACATTTAAAGCAATAGATGCCTTGCCCCTTTCTCTCAAATTATTTTTGGGAGTCTCTTCCATCTTTCTCTCTTCCTTTGTTAGGAGTAGGTCTACTAGCTTTCCTTTCAACCTCGAGGACTTGACATTGCTAGCTATAAAGTACTTTTTGAACTTCCATGCAATTAAGGCTAGGTCATTCTCTCCTAATTGGGTTAATCCAGATTTACCTACTTCTTGATTTGTAGAGCTCAAGAAAATGCCCTTAGATTTCTTTAAGGATGGAAGGTTTATCTCAAAGGTCAATATAGACCCAAAAAGGTCTTCCACCAACACCCACTCCATATTGACACTTGTTTCCAAGGTTGCGACCTTAGCATGAAACCTCTCAGGTAAAGATCTCAAGATTTTCAAGTTCATGACCATATCATCAACCTTGGTTGCTAATGCAAATGATGAATTTACAACATCACACAATTTGGCATAAAATTCACTAAATGGTTCATCGTCTTACATCCTCAAAGCCTCAAACTGAGGTATACCTTTGGAGTATAGACATCTTTACCATGGAAGTCCCTTCATAGGAAACAACCAAGATGTCCAATGCTTCTTTTGAAGTTTTTCAATTTGCGATCCTTCAGAACCCATTAGGTGTCATGATATTGAATATTGCATTCAAACCTTTTGAGTTTCACCGAGCAAATTCTTTCTCGTTTATAGTCCATACCTTCAAGGATTTCACTTCAACCACCACTTCTCCGTCTTCAACCTGCGTGGTGACAGTGGGAGGGCTCTAACCCTCTTGCACAGTCCACCAAACTCTCTCATCAATTGATTTTTAATATGTTCTCATGTGAGCTTTCCAATAGGTGAAATAGAACCATCAAATAGAGGTGGTCGTGCAATAGTACCACCTTTCTTTTTAGAATCTATTCAAGACTAACTAGTAGTATTGATATATATCTCAAAGGAAAATGAGGAAAGTAAGCAAAATATACAAGTGCTTATTTAGTGTCTATGACCTTAGAGCAACCACTCTCTAATACCGATTGTTGTTTCAAGAGAGGGAATTGATTAGCTCTAAATAGTGCATATTTATCCTACCAATTGTGGACCAATTATCATGGGTTTGAACTTAATTGTATGATATTAATGTTATATTTAATTTTTGCATGATTTAATTGGTATGTTTCTATTTTTCACGTGAAATGAAAAGATTAGGAGGCAAATAGGCAAACACTGGAGTGGATTGCACAAAGGAAAAGAGAAAATTGAAGATTGAAGTTCAGAAGGTCACATCTTGACAAAATTTATCCATGTCCGAACATGAGGTGAAGCATCAGAGGCAGAAATAGGCTAAGCTCCCAGAAGACCACGTCCGAATGTCATTAATAAATGTCCGAACGTGTTTTTTTTTGCTCCCAACCAATCAGAAAGTCTGATGACGCAAGACTTCCTTCATCTTCCTCCTTTGGAAAAAAGTACTCTATACTTTTTAGAGAGTTTTTAAGCTTTTACTAGATCTGAAAATTTTTCTATTACTTTTCTTCCTTAATTTTGTGATTAGCACATCTTCTATGGCTAACTAATCATTATACTAAGGCTAGGGGAGACTTCATTTCATTTGGGTCATGTAAATTAATCTTATGTTCTTCATTTGATGATTACTAAATTAATTCAATCCATCTAATTTTGGCAAACCTTTCTGTCTATATAATCCTTGGAATTCTTATACTAGTTGTGACGGATGCTTGAGATCAACTATGAGCTGAATAGCTAGATGTACATGCTTGGATTGCATGTTAAATGCTTGTAAATAACTGTTGAATATTTGGATTCATTTATATTAACTCATTGATTATACCCTAAGATAATTTTATAATTAATTATTGTCAAATCCTCCAATTGGGTTCACTCCCTAGTTGATTCCCAATTGAGATTGGAAATTGGGATAAATTTGCTGCCCAAGTGTTATTGAAATAGTATCCAATGCCTTGGTATGTTTTCCACATTACTTTTCTTAAAAAATTATAGTTCATTTGTTTTAAAGTTCAATTATCAATTCACTCTCTCTCAAACACAACATATTTTCTTTTATTAATCCTTTTTCACACTTAAAATTTTCATCTCCCTGTGGATCAATCTTGGACTCTTCTAAGAATGACTACTTACTTGACAAACTATATTTGGGTTTACAAATTTCGATGCGAAGCAAGTTTTTGAAGTCGTTGTCGGGGGATGGAGGAGGTGCAATTGAGGAGTGTGCCATCATCATTCAAGGTTTGCTCAGTTTTTGCATAAGCGGGGATGGAGTAAAATCTTTATACTTTTACATACTTGTCATTTAAATATCTTGAATTTTATTTTATTTTGCTCCTTGTGGTAGTCATTGTTGCCTGAACTCTTGGCATAGAGAGATTGGTGGAAGGTTGATTATGGAGAATTTTTACTCACTATTTGAAGATTTATTTGACACACCCCACGAGCACACACACATCCAAATATGGCACAAAATCACCCAATAGGTCAAAATCTTTTGCTACCACCACATCCCCAATTAGTCCAAAACACCATATTACCACAAACTCACAAGGGATTTGTAATCCTTTCATACCACAAGCAGACCATCAGGGGATGATTCAAGGAGTAATTATGGTGACAATGAGGGTTATGAGGAAGTGAACATTGGACATGCTAATGTAAATATTAATAATGTTATAACATTGAGAGAGTACTTACATCCTGCCCGTCACACTACACTTTTGTGCATTATTTTTTCCATTAAAGCTCATCATTTTGTCTTTAAACTGGGCATGATTACCTTTTTGCCTATATTCCATGGTTTAGATTCCAAAAATTCCTACCTTCATATTCGTGATTTTGAGGAGGTTTGGGACACATTCCAAGACTTGACGGCAGCGGAGGGGATAATCTGTTTGAAGCTTTTTCCATTCTCTCTAAAGGGTAAAGCTAAAACATGGTTAAACTCCCTTAGGCCAAGGTCTATTGGATCATGGAGGGAAAAACAATAAGAGGTCCTTAAAATGTTTTTTCCAACTCATAAAACAAACACTTTGAAGCGACAAATAATAAATTTCTCTCAAAAAGAAAATGAAATGTTTACCAATGTTGGGAGAGATTCAAGGAACTACTTACATCATGCCCTCACCATGGATATGAAAATTGGCAGATTATAAGTTTTTTCTATGAGGTTTTATCTTCACAAATGAGGCATTTTGTGGAAATAGTGTAATAGGGAATTTATGGCTAAAGAACCATAGGAGGCTTTTGATTAATTTGATTCCTTGGCTGAGAATGCCCAAGCTTGGGACACACAATTCCTTGATTCTAAGTCTAAGACCTTAAATGCACCAGTAGGAGGGGGAAAACAAAAATTAAGGGAGGAGGATGATTTGAATGAAAGGATCACAATTTTTAGCTGGGAAGATTGTGATTAACCCTAAAAAGTAACATTGTTACATGTGTTTTAAGGGTTAATTGAGCCAATCTAATAATTAAAGGGGTGATATTAAAGATATTGTTATTAATGGGTGGAATTGTAATGTTTGAAAATATAGGGACTAAAGTGTAGTTTTGGAAAGTTGACGGGTCAAAGTGCAAAAAAAATGAATGTTTCAAACTTGCCAGCGTTCAGATGTTGAGGCGCATTCTGATGGTAAAGTAAGTGGCTAGGACAAGTTTGAAGGAGTAATTGCCTGAAGAACTAGAGAAAGGCCACCGTCTGAACAGTACTTAAACTGCCTCAAATGACAACTCTTCCTCATTGGTCAATTTGGTGACTACTGCACTTTGATTGGTCAATTTTTCCACCTGCACTCTAATTGGTCAGCTTGGTGAGTTCAATTTCAATTTTCAGTTTGTAGTTTAAACTTTCCCTAGCCTATAGTCTCTCACAACATTTTTTGAAGACCTTTTCTTACCTGGAGGGTTGAACCTCTTTCAATTTTCCTAGCCTTGTCCTTGCAAAGGAAGTGTGGTGGTGTTTTAATCTAACCTTAGGAAAAAGTTAGGGTTTTGTCGTCTTACTTGGAGGAATGAAGATACCCACTTTTCTAGGTTATCTATAACTATGAAGAGTGGATAATTTTTTTATTAACTCTTTAGTGAGGGAGCAAGGACTGGTGTAACATTGCTTGAGTTATGATAATTGCATTTTTCAGTTATGTTTTATTGTTATATACCTCCCTTAATTGATGAATAGTACTTTCCTTTAATTTTTTGTACTTGGTATTCCTAATGTGTAACTTAGTTTATGCTCATGGTTCATACAAGTACTGAGCTAGGGTTTATTATTATTTCCATACCATCTTTATTGTTTTATGTACTTCATGCATGCAGTAATGAATTACTAAGTTGGGTTTTATGTAAAAGTTAGGAGATTAGTTATTGACGCATTAAGTCTCAACATATCTAATGCTTTTGATTTAATGCATAATCCGAAGCTCTGTTTTTCATTAACGCACAGACCTTCCAATTAAGTTATCATAGTAAACCTTTGAATGGTTGTCCCTTCGACTTTGCTAGGGTAAAATGGTTGTGGTATAGTGCAAATACCTTCCGGTTGACCTAACATTTGCTATGTTATGGTTTTATATTATATACATTCCGATTAACTTATTGTTGACACAGAGGTTAATTGTAGTATGTTAGCAATG